AAACTGGATAGAAAAAAATTGTTGATTTAAAATTGAAAATGATTTCACACTTACACAGCTCTGGTATACGGTAGTTCTTAATGTATACTGGGTCTGTATCTTTTGTCCTTAACTTTTGTGTGTAAAAATTGTTTGATGTGATTGCTTCTGTTTCTAATCCAAAAATATCGCTGTACCTAGAACATAATTCCGTTAACGTTTTTTCAAATAGTTTTGGAAAATTTTTCTTTAGTGTATCCAAAATTTTATTTTTTCTTTCTGTTTTGTTTTGATCACTTGAAATTAAGTTATAGTCAGTGAGATTTTCTGATTTAATTCTGTTTAGTTTTACCGTTACTGGTCTGTCATTTGTGTTAAGAATTCGTATGAATGCATTTTCAGATTTTACCAAGGTACTTGCAATGAATATACCTGTTTGTATTCCTTGATTAGGTATCAGTACTTCTTGAAAAGGAGTAGAAAGTTTCACCCTTCTTATAACTTCTGACATAGCTGGGAGTGTTATGTCATCGTTACAAGTAGTTATAATTGGTATTTCAATGTGCATTTGGAATTTTTCTGGTCTGAGGGTTAGGAAATCTTGATTCTCATTGAATTCAAGTAGACAATTGTATTTTTTCATAAAGTCCATTCCAATAATGCCATCACACGGTATTGGGAAATCGTTTTGTACTACATGAAACTCGTGTGGTATTAAGTAATTTTTAAACTTTAAATCGAAAAATGTTGTGCCTATTGAATTGATTTTTCCTTGTCCAATGCCTTGTAGTGTTGTAATGTGTTTTTTGTTTATGTGTTTAAGTGACCAAGATGGTCATGTTTAATTATGGAAATGTCTGCTCCTGTGTCAACTAGTAGTGTTATGGCGGTGTTAGTGTGAGCAATTCTGACTTGTATGTAAATGCTAAAGTTAAGGTTAAGATTGTATATTTTGTTTTCCGAGTTTATCTTAGGGGAATGTCCGGGTTTTCCGAACTATTGTTGTCTGTTTGGGTCATTCTAATATTCCTTGTATTACCTCGGTAGGTATTTCTGTTTTGACCTCTATTATTATAGTTATTTCCACTATAATTGCTGTTTTGGCCATTGTGGTTTCTTTGAATATTGGTTCTATTTTGAAACCTTCTTCCAAAATTTCTATTGTTTTGGAATCTGTTGCCAAATTGTCTTTGTCGGTAGTGCAAAATGGTATTTTGTTGGCCTGTAGCTTCTGTACAACTTCCAACAAATTTGCTTATTACTTCATTCATGTCAGTAAACTGACCTGCTTCCATAATAACTTTGACTTTTTCTAATGTGCAATTTTTAGTTATTGCCCTTACGGCTGCTTGTGTCGCATATTTACTTGCCAAATTTAAGTTTATGCCGTCATTTATATATGCATATTTTGTTAGTGTTTCTATTTCATTGCAGTAATTTGTAGCAGTTTTGCTACTTTGTCTTATATTCATAAGTTTTGCAGTCACTACTTCTACTGACTCACCTTTTACGGTGGTGCGTAGTTTGGTACTGATTTAAGTTTAGTCTTAATTAAAGAAATGGCTATTGCCTCATGTTCGCCTTTTATCGCATCAACCAGAGTTAGTGCGTCAAGGAATGAACGTAAATTTTCTGATTTGCCATCAAAATCAGGTATAAGCTTTGTTGCTGTATTTATAAATTCTACTACTGTCTGTGTCATTGTGGGAGTTTGTATAATTTCTTGTAGTGGTGTAAATGATATTTCCTCGTGTAGTGACGTTGGGATATCTATTGTAATTCCTTTTCTTGAGGCTACCGTTATGAGTTTTTCCCTAATGTCAAGAAAGAATGTTTCAGCTGCTACTTTATGACCTTGTGTAAGTCTATTATAGTTGACATTTAGAAAAACTCTAAGTTTTTCAAGTGTGCTGACTAGGCTATTGATATGTTTATTAAGTGTCTCTGTCTTTATTTCCCTGTCGTTGTTTAGGCACTTATGTGTTTTCAAAAATTCCTCTCTAATTTGTCTAGCTTTAATTAATATTTGGTTCCAGTCCATTACCTTTGGTTGAACCTTTTATTGTAACAGTGGGTAATAAATTTGTTAGACTTGGCCTAAATCATTGCTTCTATTGGCTGTATATTTTTTTTTAAGCACCTATTGTGCATTCTATACAATTTAAAGCAAATATTTGCTGCTAAAAGGGCTACTATTACAAATACCAAGATGGTTATAACTTCCAAGTCGGGGGACGTTACGTCAACTTTGTTGATAACATTTGCAGTAGAGTCTACTGTTTTTACGTCTAATAGACCCATTTTAGGCCAAGTTTGTAGTATTTGTATTGGTATGTCCAGATTTAAATTTTTCTAATTGTCTCCTATCATATAAGTTTTTTAAAAATTTTATGTAACTATAACCCTCTTTTTTTTAATTAATTCTTATTTTAGTAAATTTTTAATTAACATTTATTTATTTTTATTGATAAAATTTTGGCTTAATATTTAAAAAAAAGTCATAAAATTTTTTTTTTTTTTTTTTTTTTAAAGTAAGATTGAAAGTAACTTAAGAAATGTATTGTATATGTATATAAAAAAAAATATTTTTGCCACGAGCGAAAATTCGCTTACTGGCCCTATGAGTGCGGATTGACGCACATCAGTTTTTGTTTGCTTATAATATAATTTATATTTTTTATTATTATTTTTTTTAATTTTGCTTTCTATTTACTAAATACTGCTCCATCAGGAATTCTACCTCTGAGATTCTACTCCATATTTTAGTTGCTGCATCCCATGGTGGTGGCGGCCTTGTATTAACTGTTCTTAGTAGGATTGCCTTCTCCCGTTTTAGTTTTTGCATGTAACCTCCTCTTCTTTTTGGCTTTTGTGCTTTTGGAATGGTAATTTCATCTGTTGTCTTTCTGCTGGTTCTTTTTCTATATTCCTCGAGAGTTATTGGTTGTGGTCCTTCCTTCATCACGCAGCTGACGGATCTTTGTGGCTGATCCACGTCAGGACAAATTAGTTTTAAGCTGACTGTCCGTCAGGCTTTTTTGTTTGATGATTGATTGATTTATTTATTTTTTTTGGCTGATCAAGTCAAAGTGCTTTTTAGTGCATAATTTTTAAGCACAAAATTTTAAAAATGTTGCAATTTAAGCAAACCAGGATTCAGGCTGATCTGTGCAGCAAAGCACTAGACTGCCACTGTGCAATTCAAATCTAAGCACCGGTTGGCAGGATAGCTTTTTTGCAAATTAATTTTCGCAAAAAGCTGGCAGGATCGCCATGTATCGAATGAAACAATTCATTTATGTTTTAATTGTATTGAATTTATTTTACTGAGCAACTCAATGTCGCTTTGTAGGTTCTTTTAGAATTGAATTCTTAGCCTAACATATTGGGGTATTTATGGGAAATAATTGCTGCATAAGCATAAATAATATTATAAATAAATTGAAGCTTAAAGTTAGTTTGTTTGACGGTTTGGCACGTGTGCCTGACAATGCGTGAGTTCTATATTCAAAATATTCAAACAACTGAAATATGAAACCCTTGTTGTTATGAATAAATTAAATAATTATAAACGTTAAGCATGGTCGACTTTCAGTTACACTACTTTATGACTTTCCTAGCACATAAATCAATCTCTGAAGCAGGATTCATAAAAAAAATTTGAGCAAAAAAATGGGCTTGGTTAATAAAAAGTCAAATCGAATCAACGCACAAATGTTTAAAATTTGTATGTATGGCCATCTTTATCTTTATTGCAACGTGTGCAGTATCAAAAAACTTGTAAACAACATATGTATGCACATGTGTTTGTAAAACTTGCAACACACGAAGCACCAATGACATTGACGGCCATTGCATGCCACAAACAAAAAGTGGCACGCGGTCTTCTAGAAGTCAGCGATGCAGTTACACACTCAGCCATACGCTTTTCTACATGCATACATACATGCACACACATTAAGCCTCAACGCCAGAAAGTATGCACCGCTTTTAGACGGCAGCACTCAAACTTCACAAAAGCTCTTGGTGTTGCAAATTAAAATTTTCACTTGCGAATGCGTTGATTAAATTGCCAGCGACGTGCAATGGGTCATGGCAGTTCGCCTGGCGGTCACAGTGCACTCAGCGGCAGCTAAATTTAAGGCTCATGCGAGGAATTCCCCATGAACTAGTTTTATACGCGCAACTTTTTTGATTTACTAGCACTTTCAATTTACTGGTTACAGAATTGGCTGTGGCAAGGAGTCACGCAAAAGTTGTTACAAGATGTGTTCAAAGCGATTTCAAAAAACTACGTGACTAACTGATTTCACATTCAGACACTTTTGGTTTCTTTTGCACTATACTGAAGGCATTGTGCGGAGAATTAATTTGGAGTTGAGCTAGCTATTTCATAAATTGATTCAATTGTGACCATCAAAGTATGTATTCCGATACAACTCCATGTGCGAAGTATGCGAAAGCCCGCAAACTTTTTCACCTTCACATTCAACTTGACTGCCACGCAATTTGCATATGTTTTAGTTATAAGTGTATATATAGTGTATAATTTCCAGCGCCAATTAAAATTCCCCTCCCCTACTTTTCCCTTTTTAGCTCATAGCTTACTTCCATTGGCACTGCCGCGAAAAATATTTCACTCTTCTTTATCAGCACATAACAGTAATTTGAATAAATATGTGTGTATTTTCCTTCACCTTCTTTGCACAGGCAACAACAGCTAATGGAGACACGGCCCTGCATTTGGCCGCCAGACGACGGGATGTCGATATGGTTCGCATCCTGGTCGATTACGGCACCAATGTCGACACCCAGAATGGTGAGGGCCAGACACCCTTGCACATAGCGGCCGCCGAAGGTGACGAGGCACTGCTGAAGTAGTTCTATGGCGTGCGCGCTTCCGCGTCCATTGCGGACAATCAAGGTGGGTAACGTTCGGTTTCCTGCGTAAAACATTGTATTTTTAACATATTTGCTTTTTTTTTGCTTATTTGTATGCTGTATATTCTGCTCAAGCGCAGATCGTACACCAATGCATTTAGCAGCTGAGAATGGCCATGCGCACATCATTGAAATTTTGGCGGACAAATTCAAGGCGAGCATCTTCGAACGCACAAAGGATGGCAGCACGCTGATGCATATCGCCTCGCTGAATGGCCATGCCGAGTGCGCGACGATGCTCTTCAAGAAGGGCGTCTATCTACACATGCCAAATAAGAATGGCGCGCGCAGCATTCACACCGCGGCCGCTTACGGCCACACCGGCATCATCAACACGCTGCTGCAGAAGGGCGAAAAAGTTGATGTGACGACGAATGTGGGTATCGTTGGCATTAAACGATTTGAGTAATTATTTTTAACATTTTGTTTTATTATCCATTTCTGCAGGAGAACTACACAGCACTCCATATTGCTGTGGAGTCTGCGAAGCCAGCCGTCGTCGAAACATTGCTTGGCTTCGGCGCCGATGTCCATGTCCGTGGCGGTGCGATGCACGAAACGCCGCTGCATATTGCCGCACGAGTTAAGGATGGCGATCGTTGTGCTTTAATGCTCCTTAAGTCCGGAGCTAGTCCCAATTTAACTACCGATGATGGCCTGACGCCGGTGCATGTGGCCGCGCGTAACGGTAATCTGGCAACGCTGACACAACTCCTCGAAGATGGTGGCGATCCGCTATACAAATCCAATGTAAGTTCTACACGCGCATATAAAGTTTGCGGTACTTAACTTGCAAACTACCATCATTTAACTTCCTTACAGACCGGCGAAACGTCACTGCATATGGCCTGCCGTTCGTGTCACCCCGAAATCGTACGACACCTCATCGAAATGGTCAAGGAGAAACATGGCCCCGACAAGGCTACCACCTACATTAATTCAGTTAACGACGATGGCGCCACCGCACTACACTACACATGCCAAATCACCAAGGAGGAGGTCAAAATTCCCGAGTCCGACAAGGAGATTGTCCGCATGCTGCTGGAGAATGGCGCAGATGTGACGCTGGCAACGAAAACTGTGCTGGAGACTGCTTTCCATTACTGTGCTGTCGCTGGCAACAACGATGTACTAATGGAGATGATCGCGCACATGAATCCCACAGACATACAAAAAGCCATGAATCGACAGACGTCGGTAGGCTGGACGCCGTTGCTAATCGCCTGTCACCGCGGGCACATGGAGCTGGTCAACAACCTTTTAGCGAATCATGCCAGAGTGGATGTGTTCGACACAGAGGGCCGATCCGCCCTGCATTTGGCTGCCGAACGAGGGTATCTGCACGTCTGCGACGCATTACTCACCAACAAGGCGTTTATCAATTCGAAATCGCGTGTCGGTCGCACGGCGCTACATCTGGCGGCGATGAATAGCTTCACACATCTAGTGAAGTTTCTCATCAAGGATCACAATGCTGTTATCGATATATTGACACTGCGCAAGCAAACGCCTCTCCATCTAGCCGCCGCTAGTGGACAGATGGAGGTATGTCAGCTTCTGCTTGAGCTCGGAGCTAACATAGACGCGACCGACGATCTGGGTCAAAAGCCCATACATATCGCTGCGCAGAACAACTACTCTGAAGTGGCCAAATTGTTCCTGCAACAACATCCGTCGCTGGTGAATGCCACCAGCAAGGATGGCAACACCTGCGCGCACATCGCTGCCATGCAGGGTTCGGTGAAAGTGATCGAGGAGCTAATGAAGTTCGATCGTTCTGGCGTGATATCGGCTAGAAACAAATTGACTGATGCCACGCCGCTGCAGCTGGCGGCCGAGGGTGGACATGCGGACGTGGTGAAGGCGTTGGTACGTGCGGGCGCCTCGTGCACAGACGAGAACAAAGCTGGCTTTACGGCCGTGCATTTGGCGGCACAGAACGGGCATGGTCAGGTATTGGATGCGTTGAAAAGTACCAACTCTTTGAGGATAACCAGCAAGAAATTGGGACTGACGCCGTTGCATGTGGCAGCCTACTACGGACAGGCGGACACTGTGCGCGAGCTGTTGACGAGCGTGCCGGCAACGGTGAAATCTGAGCCGCCGACAGGACAAAGTCTCTTCGGTGAATTGGGGGCAGAATCCGGCATGACACCATTGCACTTGGCAGCATTCTCGGGCAATGAAAATGTAGTAAGGTTACTACTAAATTCTGCCGGTGTACAAGTGGAGGCGGCAACGACAGAAAACGTAAGTTTCGCACAAAATTGTATCCCCACATTGGAGCATTTTAACACACTTAATTTTTCAGGGCTACAATCCGCTCCATTTGGCTTGCTTCGGTGGTCACATGTCAGTGGTTGGCTTGCTTCTGAGTCGCTCAGCAGAACTGCTCCAATCGACGGATCGTCATGGCAGGACGGGTCTACATATCGCCGCCATGCACGGCCACATACAGATGGTGGAGATTCTGTTGGGTCAGGGCGCAGAAATAAATGCCACCGACAAAAACGATTGGACGCCACTGCATTGTGCTGCCAAAGCCGGCCACTTGGAAGTTGTGAAGTTACTATGCGAGGCCGGCGCTTCGCCCAAGTCGGAGACGAACTACGGTTGCGCGGCGATATGGTTCGCCGCCTCCGAAGGCCACAATGATGTGCTGCGGTATCTGATGAATAAAGAGCACGATACGTATAGCCTGATGGAGGACAAGCGCTTCGTGTACAATTTGATGGTGGTCTCAAAGAATCACAACAACAAGCCGATACAAGAGTTTGTGCTTGTGTCGCCGGCGCCAGTGGATACCGCAGCCAAATTGTCAAATATCTATATAAACTTGTCGACAAAGGTGGGTATTAGTTGATTGAGAAGGCCGGGAATAATTTAACTGCATTGCTTAGTGGGCTAAAGACAGATAAAACAATTGCTTTTGAGGTCTGTTATTGTATATAAAAATGTAATTGAATTGCTTTCACTCACAGGAAAAAGAACGCGCCAAAGATCTAGTAGCCGCTGGCAAACAATGTGAATCTATGGCGACGGAGCTGCTAGCCCTTGCCGCAGGCTCTGATTCGGCCGGAAAAATACTGCAAGCCACCGATCGTAGAAATGTCGAGTTCCTAGATGTGCTAATTGAAAATGAACAAAAGGAAGTTATTGCACACACTGTAGTGCAGCGCTATCTGCAAGTAAGTTTTGCCGCGACCCTTAAGCCCAAACTGCTTATATTCTCACTACCCTGCAGGAACTCTGGCGCGGCTCACTCACCTGGGCTTCCTGGAAAATACTGCTACTCTTAGTCGCATTCATTGTGTGCCCACCCGTCTGGATTGGTTTCACTTTCCCGATGGGCCATAAATTCAACAAAGTGCCTATTATCAAATTCATGTCCTATCTCACCTCGCACATCTATCTGATGATCCATCTGAGCATAGTCGGCATAACGCCCATCTATCCTGTGCTGCGGCTAAGTTTGGTCCCCTACTGGTACGAAATTGGGCTGCTCATTTGGTTGAGTGGTTTACTTTTGTTCGAGCTGACAAATCCATCTGACAAATCTGGATTGGGATCGATAAAACTGTTGGTGCTGCTGCTGGGCATGGCCGGTGTGGGCGTGCATGTGGCCGCGTTCGTCTTCGTCTCCAAATTATACTGGCCGACACTGATCTATTGCCGCAATCAGTGTTTCGCATTGGCTTTTCTGCTAGCCTGCGTGCAAATATTGGACTTTCTCTCGTTCCATCACCTCTTCGGACCATGGGCTATCATCATTGGTGATTTGCTAAAGGATTTGGCACGCTTCTTGGCAGTACTGGCGATTTTCGTTTTTGGCTTCTCAATGCATATTGTAGCGCTGAATCAGTCGTTTGCGAACTTAAAGCCGGAGGATTTGCGGGGGTTCGAAAAACGCAACCGCAATCGCGGATACTTCAGCGACGGTAAGTACTTTGTTCTTCGATGTTGTGTGTTTAAAGTTTCGTTTGTTATGTGGATCCTTTTTTTTTTGTGTTTCGAAAGGAGAAAAGTGACTGAAAAACTGCGAAATTGCATTCGCTTTTCTCTTTTAGTTTATATTTATTCCATGAAAACATATAATAAAACCGTATGGATAAGTATCTGCCTTGAAGGCACCGCAACAGGTTGCCTTCAAGTTGAAAATCCCGGATATAGCTTGCATGCCGAACAATTACAGACCACTCGTACTAGATGTCCTTTGAAAAAGAAAAAATAAAAAAAGAATTGCTGCTGCTTAACAAATATCTAAATATGCTCTTACATTGAGTCTTTCTATATTTCTCCTATAATTCACAAAACGCACAGATGATATGCCAACACCACGACCTCCTCCCAGCTCAGCTGAGCGTTATATCGATAGTCGAAGTTTATCTAGCGAATTTCGACGCAAACATAAAGATGATTGTAAGTCCTGTTACTGGCCCGATATAATAATGCCTGTATTTGTGTTTGTGTGCTGCCTTCGATGTTGTATCCACACTGTTTGTACACCTTGTTTTGGATCGTTGTTATTGTTATTTCTAGTTCCAAAGCGTTTAATTCGTTACATTCCTTCGCTCCGAAATTTCGAAGGGCATGTTAGCTTTGAGTGGTCATCACATTCCCTCATCTGTGCATCCTTGGTGTTGTGTATAAATGTTTTCTTAGGATTTCAATTCAAGCAGTGTTTTGGTTATTATTTTGAGTTTCCTCTCTGTTTATTCCTCAAGTTAGCATGCTCCAAAATACTATTATTTTACTTTCTTCTAAAATATTTCTCTCGCTTTTATTGTGTTTTCTTATTATCCCTTTGAGTTGAATGCTGTTTGCACCACTTTTCGCTTAAAAAATCTATCAAATTTACTACACCCTAACACTTCTAAAGTTTGGTATTTTACATTAACATACTTATGATTTTTTGTACTTATATACGACTACTTATTATTTTGATTTAGTGAAGAGACGTTTTACCACTCAGCTTCGTCGAACTTTAAAGCAGGCGTGCTCGGGAAATTTAACTTAGAGCGCCAAACGATAACGACGAAAAAAACAAACTATTTTGGTACTAAACTAACAACAAAGCAATGATACAAACCTACAGCTGACCAAATGCACATTTGGACCATTTTAAGGGCCGTTTGCACAATGCCTGGTTGGCACAAATCGGAGGTAGAAACTCCGGTTAAATACAACTACTGCTTTATCGACCACATGTTATAACATAACATACATAACATAGGGTATAAAAAAGTGGGCTCTGAAAAGGGGCCATGACACACCCTATAGGCGTGGAATTTTTAATCAACTATAACTTCGAGACCATAAGTCACAAGACTTTTAAATTTGATGTGAAAACAGAACTAAAGTAGGCGCTTATAGGTAGTGAGGTAAATATAAACGAGTTTACACGAGCAGGGCACATTTTATAGGCGTGAAAGAACCATAAGTTATATGATCTTTGATCTTTGGTATGCATACAACGAATAGACAGCTAAACAGAATTTCCTGTAGAAAACTAAAGAGGGATGAGAGTTTGCAAGAAGTCGTAGGCGGCATACATTCAGAAAACGATAACTTTGACACAAGTGACACATAATTCTTTCGTTGCCTTGATCCACCTTACTTTAATGATGGAATCGGATTGGTAGTAAATAATATGATGACCCATACAATTGTAGCAAGAATTATTACTGGGTATGGTAAAGAAGAAGGTGAGTTTATTTCAGGAGTCCCAGTTAGTTATAGTAAAAGACCCAGCTATTTCATACTTATTTTCCGATTTTTCGCAGTTCTTAGGATTTTACTTACAAATCAATCCCTGGCTGACTTCTGGTCCTTTTGTTTTTTTTTGCGAGAATTTCGCCGCCACAAAAATGTTCGTCTTTACCAAGTCTTAAAAGCAGCCAAAATGGAGTTTTTTTCATACCTTTCTTTTTAGTTAACTGTAAGGCGTAGGTATGTACAGTAAAATTAATTTCGTTCATTCTGAGATTTTTTTATTTATTACGTAAATGTTATAAAATCGATTACAAATTTAATTTGAAGCAAATTATTCAGTATTGGCCAAATCTATAGCGCCCCCATTTAGAAGTGATATTGTTTGCCACTTATGTTTAATCACAAGGTGTTACACTGATCGTGAACTTTTTAAGTGACCTAGTACACGTCGTAGGGCTGGTCAAGTAATTCACGAAACTGCATTTAAAATTTTTGCAACACCCTCAAATTCTCGACTTATTCTTAAAAAACCATTTTTACATGACTTTCCGCACTAAAAAATGTTCAGCTGTTAATTTTTACCCCATTTTAAGTTTTATAGTCTTTGAAAGGAAGAATGTTTGTACTATTTAAAGAATAAATAAGTTTTGTGAGCACATTGTAAATTAGAGGGCTGCATGAATCCATTCTAAACGGCAAATGAATCATTCATATTGAAATTAAATGAATGTGATTGGGTTTGAATTTTATCGAATTTAAATGAATAGCTTTGCTGATATGATTGTCGACGTTACAATATTCAAACGATGTGAAAACAAATTCAGTGAATATGATGGAATTTTTTTTATTTTTATAAATCTAAATACCTACATTTCCTTGTATTTATTGAACTTTTCTTATACATATTTTGTACTTGTATGCGCCATAAAAGAGAGTCATTAGATAAGAATCGAATTGGTTTCAACATATAGTATATTTATATTTCCATATTTGAATGCAGAAACATTATTTTATTTACATTGTCTGGGTTAAGAGCAATAGTACAACGTTTTTCGGTTATTAAATTTCTACTTGAGCCATGGCGCTGCCTTCATGATTGATTTCGATAAAATCTGCGAACGCATTATCTTCCAAGATGTCGTTGCTTTGTATATTTCCATCAGATCCATGCCCAATAAAGCTAGTCATTAATTCCTTACAATTTCTGATAACTTGTAGTTTTTCATCCGAAGAAAATTGTAGTAGTTTATTTGTTGGCGGAAAAAAATGGGCAATTTTGTGGTATTTTGTAAAATGTGGGAAAACTGTTGCCAAAATTTCACTGAGGAGAACCGATTTTACTTGAGTTATAAATTCGATATCATTTTCACCAGCAGAACAGGACTTTTTTAATTTGTTAAATATGGAATTATCAAATGTATTGTGGGCAATTTACTCCCTTCAAGCTTTTTAGAAGCATAATCAAATGGCTCTAAAAGTCCAGCGACGCAACTGAAATGGTTCACATTGAGGTTTTCTATTCTGCTTGTTTCTTTTTTCTCTTTCAGAATATTTGCACTTTGCAATAATGCGCTTGCGGAGTTCTGTTATTATAAACATATACCATTATCATTATTAAATGGACCGAAATGTAGATTCACTATACATACATACGTACATCATTTTAAGCTAAACGTACTTACATTTTCCTCTACACTTTCCATTCTTTTTTTCGTTTTCGATGCTAAACACAAAATATCATATAAATTGTAATAAATTTGAGTCTGAATAAATTTAAGGTTTTTCATTCATTCATTTATATAATTCTATATGAAGTTAGAAAACTTGAAACGCAATGAATATTCATAAAATACAAAATTCAAAACGCTGGGTGTTTTGAACTTGAAATAGAATACACAATTCTACTGTACTCTCTTTGGCTTGAAATTAGAATCGACTCATGCAGAGGTCTATTGTAAATGTGTTGAAAGTTGTTGGAATAAGTCTGAAGTTAAAACAAATTTTTATTATTTTTTCCCACTTCTACAACATTTTTTTTTAAATTTCAAAACAAAATAGTCTCCTTCAGTCATTGCTTCGAAAAGAATGTGCAATTCCGAGTTAAGTTATGAATTTTCTTAAGATTTTTTCAAAATAACCGATGTAATTTCACAGAAAAATTGTATCAATTAAATTGGATTCATTTTGAGGTTTGACATTTTTCGCTTTCTTATTTGAGCTAGTGATGGGGAAAATATCGATATTGCCGATAAAATAAAGAAATAACTTGGACGTTACACGATCAAGATCTTGGTTTCAAGTTGCAATACACTAACACTTTTTTACTAACACACACGCACATTTAAAGTTGAACGTCGACTTGATATCAATTTTTACTTTCAAGTTGCTACACAACTTCAAGTCAAACAGCTGTTTGATTTTTTTTTCTAAAAATGTGCATACCTTTGCATATTCCGGTACATTTGCTTGTACCCAAACCTTCGTTTCGCTACACGGTACAAAACCAAAAGTTTCGGTACTTTACCGGAGATTTAGGTACAGGTGCAGAAACATTTTTGCCAAAAAGGGTCTTGTCAGGTGGCGCCAGGGTCGATATATTTGTATAACCTTATTTATGCTCTGATTGTTTTTTATATTCGGCATGTTTGCAAAAATGGAATCGCTGGTGTCGCTGATGTCGAAATAAAAAGTACGTTCGACATAAAATGCATGTTTTCTTCTCGTAAAAAATTCTTTCAAGAACAATATTAACAAAACTTTTTCAATGGAAGTTTTAGTAACGCAACGCCAGGTAACGTCACGGCAGATAATTCAGCTGATTAAACATAAAGCAGAAAATGTTTCTACATTTAAAAACTTGGAAAGTTAACCATACGCATTTGCAATATTACTACACAAACTTGCCCGATTCGCAAAGTTTTGTAAATTTGTTACCCAAGTCAAAATCCACTACTGTTTCATACGAGCATAACGTAACGCCAGATTGGAAATGGGTCAAAATGATGGAGGTGGAGAATTTGTTTCGATAAAAATAAAAAAAATAGCTTTATTATGAAATTGATTTTGCACTGTTATAAAATGGAGTAGGTCGTCGTCAATTTAGTTTATGAACGGGCAGAGCAAAAAATTACATGTTTTTGAATTAACATGACCTGGCTCACTAAAAATCCAGGTATTGATTAAGAATTTAAGCCTTAAGTGGATATCCTTCCGATTTCGATACAGATTTGTATATCCATATTTTCTGCGACGAGCTACGGACCACAGCTGTCAAATTATCTTTCCGCGTATTCTTATATAGATGTCAATTTTGGCGACGACAGGGCTACGCGACGACTATGACTGTGGCCAGATTAGATCTATTTCTATTTTTCCAGCGACAGATAAGGTTCTTCCTCTTCTTTTATGTCAAACTCATCGCTGCCGCGTTCAAAAAGAATCATGCGTTTAGATAAAGAAGATAACAAATTGGAAGCTGTGGCCCGTAGCCCGTCGTTTTCAATGTGCTCAGCACTGTGACCAATGAGATCGTACAACATATAAAATGATAAGGAAGTGATAAATTTTCTTCGAACAACTTTTGAATTAAAATCAAACAGCAAAATGTTAGGTCAGCAATATTACGAAAGTAGTTACTCAAATTCCATCCACTTTAACATGTTTTTTGGTCAATCAAATTTCTCTTAATGGATTGTGGAAGCGTTCCCCAAATGATTTATCGGCTATTTCGAATGGAATAAAATAAAAAATGAAGATGCATTTGACTAAGCCATTTAAATGTGTCGTTGACTGTTAATTATATCAATCGGCAATAAAAATTTATTTTAAAATTCGAGTCTCGGTGAAAAAAGTAATCGATTGGTCTGTATCACTTAGTTGTAGAATATTTCCTTCATAGTGAATTTTTCCATGACAATTTTGAGCATGATACAAAAAACAAGGTAGTTCCATTGTCACTTTTTCGTCGCCATATTAACAACCTTACAATTAAGCAGATTGTGACATTTCGTGCTACCATACCCAATATCTAAAATCCTTCAAATTTTCTTATTAATTTTTTGTCTATTTAAAAATATTTTGTTCTTACATGTACATTTTAAATTGTATGAAAGCTGACAGTTTATAGAATTCAGTAGCGACGAAAACAAAGGGGGGTTAAGTGGTTAAACCTTACCTAAGCCGATCATAAAACTTGCGACGCAATTTCAGCTTATACCTATGGGTCTTGGCGAGAATGTAATCCCTGAAGGTTTTGCTTAAAATGGTTCTTGGGATACACCCTGTGATCATGTTACTTTCCAGAAGGTGTCGCGCCCGTTTTCCTGTACATACTTCCGTTGGAAAAATAAAGGCCGGTCCACATAGAACTTTCGCGTTGGCTTTGGCGTTGGCGTTGGTTTGACAGAACGCACGTTAAAAGTATGCTTGCTACAATGAACGCTTGGCAGCGAATCCTTGGGCCACTAAATTAACATACTAACGACAGATAAATTAATATTTCTTATCAATAATTGCATTAAAAACGATATTTCTTGCCCGCACTTGATTAAAAAGGAAAAATATTTCACATAATTTTATTTATTTGCAACAGCTGACGAGCGACGCACGCGAAAAGTTGAGAGTTGGCCATCTTTTTGCTTTGTGTTGGCGTGAGCGTTGTCAAATTTTGGCTATGTGGACGGCTGCATTTGAATTCATGTATTCATAGTCAGCTGTTGAAGCGACGCCAACGCCAACGCAACGCCAAAGTTCTATGTGGACGGGCCTTAAATGCTTCCAGAGGTATCTATGCGTCACAAGAATTTTAGTTTATTTGGTTTATACCGCTAGCTTTCAATGGCTTCGAGATCGTTTTCATATACCCCCATTTTTCATAGGTTTGGGATTGATTTCATTTACCTCTATTCCTAGTTCTACGGTGGCACGCCGCATTTTCCAATAAACTCTTATTTTTCCATGAGCTTAAGATTGACTTCATATACATATATCCATACAAAGTTCCAGGACCCTACCACAAATACTTCCAGAGATATGCACTATAAAAAATTCGATTTGTATGGGAGGTTCTACACGCCCTTTAGATATCGGTTTTGTTTTAGCCTATAACCATTATTGGAAAACTTGTGTCCGAAATTTCAAAAAAAGCCGGTATGGGCATTGTGACTCCTCAAGCGAAATGAACTAATGATTGCAAAAAATTAAATCAAACATCGTAGTTGACCAAAAAAGAATATTAGACTTCATTCTCTCAAGATAGGATATGTTAAAACAGCCTCCAAAAGATTTAATAAAGACGACCCTGGACAACACAAATCAGTTTTATTGAAAATTTGTTTTTATCTATTTATTTTATCCTTCAATTTTGGGTGTGTCAAAATTTTATGTGAAAACAATATGTGTTTCTAGAAAAATTTTACGGCCCATGAGTTCCAAAGTAAATTCCATTGCTGTTAAATGGACAAAGACAATATAATATGTATTAAATAACATATCGAAATGTGTAATTTCAGTAATTTGTGTAAATGTGTAATTTCAGAATTACATCAGAATCACGTATCCGATATAGAAAACTACATTGTGAATTAATGAGATGACATGAGGACACTAACATAATTTTAAAATATGTTCACTAAAATTGTATTAATATTAAAATAATGATTTGGCAAGTTGTAATCGAATTTAATGTAAAATTTAAACGTTCTCAAAATAAGATATTGATTAGTTTTAAAAGGTATATATATATTAATACAACTATTTACTTTATAATCCCAAATTTAGAATATAAAATGTCCCGCACCAAAAAACTTACAATTGGGTAATGCCGCTTCGAATTTTTCACAATTGTGCAAGTTGTTTATTGAAACTACCTTCTTTTTTGTATCATGATTTTGAGCAATAACTGTTATGTTCAGTCCCTGGTTATGCCAAAAAAGCGAGCTTTCAAACAAGGAGGTAGGCATAGTTACATTCTTGACAAATATAGACGGTTTACAAACTTTGCTTTCAAATATTTTGTTTTGTACTTATTTCATTTATTTGCTTCACCTGCTATAATTTTCGTTTACTTATTTGCAAATACTAATCCTTTTCAATAAGGCGCATGTTGATGTTTATCCTAAGCTACTATATGGCATACATATGTACATATGTATGTATAACCAATTACAGTTGGGATTGCCTACAGCTTCTGCACAAAGCAAAATCGATGTTAGTTACTGGTATTTACCTCAAAATTGTGTTGCTTTAAACGTGAGTGGTGCACAAAAAAAAAAAAAAATTAAAAAAAGCTGTCACGCCTCACTCACCGTCACTTGGTGTCCAAATGCGCTATCATGTTGCCAAACTTTTAACAAAACTCACGAAGTTCTACTAATCAAAGTGTATCTTGGCATTTCTTTCGATTCCCTCCGAATGTGGCAAATCCCGCAAAATATAAAAACATAAAATATTGCAAATCTCTAAAGGACCCATGACGCCATTTTTGGCGTTCGAGCGTCTCTTCTTCGCCGTATTCGGACAGACAACGACCGTCAATCCAATGCGCCACCTGCGCCCCGAATGGACCGAGGTTCTGTTCAAGTTCGTATTTGGCATCTATTTGCTTGTGTCTGTGGTTGTTCTCATTAATTTGCTCATTGCTATGATGTCGGATACTTATCAACGCATACAGGTTGGTATCGCATGCAATTTATTAATTGTACGTTTTTTTTTTGTGTGTTCTCTTCTCTCTTCCCCCATTTTAAATGCAATTTATTGAATGCGTTTTAACAAATTATATGCAAACATCAAAAAATAATAATAATAAAATAAAAACTTGACGATTATTGTGTGAATTCGAAAATGGTGTCAAACAAAAAAAAATATGGACGCCACCAAATATTTTGATTGCTGTGTTGGTGGTGATTTTTTTTTCTCATACTGTGATTATTAATTATTACTAATATCCTGCGCGCTATGTCCTGTCTATTATTGGCTATACGTTAATGCGTTTGTTTGTATTTGTTGCGCTGGACGTAGTGCGCATGCATCCGATTACTTCGTTTGAGTTACTCTTCTTCGCCGTTTTCGGTCAGACAACAACCGAACAAACACAGGTTGACAAGATACAAAACGTGGCCGAGCCCACTCAGCCATACTGGGTGGAATATCTGTTCAAAATAGTCTTCGGCATTTATATGTTGGTGTCGGTGGTTGTGTTAATCAACCTGTTGATTGCTATGATGTCTGACACCTATCAACGGATACAGGTAGTATTCCTTTACGGTACATATGTACATACACATGTACTTGAGTATGTGATTGTGAGTTTATGTTTACTAATGGTTTGACTTTGAGTCGTCGAGAAAGCGTGGTAATAAGAAACGGTCTGGTAAAATTTTATATAGGCAGAAAGCGTGAACTTCGAGGGATGAGGTTACATCTGTTTTTGTATGCTCGTGCATACTTACATATATTTTGTACAATAATACTATTTTTCCAAAGCCTAAATATTTTAAAGGCTTGCATAACCGAGCTTCGGCTAAAAAATAAGAGGGCCGCTTGATAGGTCAGAGGCTTTTTGAATCATCGGTCACTCATCACCAAAACCAAGGAGAGGCTTGATTAGCAGTACGGGGACTCTGTGATACCAATTTGAATGGTCAAAATCTGGTTCACTCAATTTCGGTCTGGACGCCCAGAAGAGGTCGTTGAAACAGAAAACGACTATAAAATCTATGGAATGATATTAGGTTAGGTTAAGTTGTCGCGGTCGTCTATAAGACACACTTAGGCTCCGAGCACATTATGATGCCGCATGTGGGGTCAGCAACTCGCAATCCCTCCTAAAACCATTTTTAACTTCGCAGGAGGCTCTCCATGTTATTGAAGCATTGTCTATACCCAAAGTTGAAAGTCTTCATCTGGATAGAGCAGGTCAGCGGCACAACAGGTACAGAATCGTTTCCTCCTCTTCTTCATCTTGACAACTTCTACAGAAGTATAGGCATGCCTGCCAATTAGGCAGTGTCCTGTTATAACAGATATTAACAAACTGATATTCTGCTTACTTAAGCTCAGTAGCAGGCCATTGCGTTTAGCGCTGAGCGCCGGCCATAATTTCCTGACAGTTTTGCAGGTTATCTCTCGGAAAAAAGTAGCTTGCAAGCTTGTAAGGGTTTTCCTATTTCATCGTTTATATCCTGAATAGTTAGTTTGGTGCAAAGTCGCGCCAGTTCATCGGCCTTACAGTTACACTCAATGTCGCAGTGTCCCAGAATCCATATCAGCCATCTCGTTAAGAGATGTGCGGCATTTCATGGCTACCATGGAGGTTGTCGACTTCTTCGAAAGGGATTTGATTGCCGCCTCGCTGTCGGCGAAGATCTAGATATCAGCTTGGAATATCATATCACACTATACCAGTTTTGTGGCCCTGGCGATTGCCATCAGTTCCACCTGAAAAATGCTACAGGGGTCGGGAAGGCAAAAACTAAGGGAGATTCCCTAGTGTTCGCAGTATACACCCCCACCAATGCTACCCTCGAGCTTTGAGCCCTCTATGTATACATGAATGTCACTCCTCACCACTCTTAGAGAGTCTCGTTTCCACTCTTCCCTTGAGGGAGCGTCGTAAACGCGCAGGGTCCGAAAGGGCGTAGTCCACCAATCCGGGAAGCTCCGAAAAGTCCGTTAATATTCTACCAGGACCATAACTGGTATTTGACAACTTATTTACACATGGCATACAGTGTCTTGGATGGTATTGCTCTTATCGCACCAGTTACGGGTGTGGAGGCGAACCTTATCCATATTTTTAAGGTTTAACTCTTTTCCGAGGGGGTCCCACCATACCACTATGCCGTGATAGAGAATGGGCCTAATTACCGCTATGTATAGTCAGTGCATTATTTTGGATGGGGGACTTTTTCCTATTGCCCTGCTGCAAGAGTATAGCGCTACTGTTACTTTGCTTACTCTGTCTGCAATATTGGATCCCCAGTTTAGTTTCCTATCTTGTATGAGACCTAGATATTTGGTCTCTTCCTTTACTTCAAGGGTTATAGCATCGAGGTCGGGTATCTTGTGCTATCTAGTTAAGAGCACTAGGTCTGTCTTTTCAGGATTTATTCCCAGTTGTCGCTTATTGCACCATAGGGATAGCTTGTTAAGAGATCTTTGAATTAGATCGGCTAATGTTGAGAGGTCCGAGATAGCTATTATAATATCGTCGGCGTATGCAATTATATTCCCACCAATGTGTTCACATCGACTACTTGAAAAGAGATAAGGCGATCACCGATGGGCCTTGCAAAGATGTAGATATGGCTTTTCAGCAAAAGGCTTGGATCGAAGGAACGGCTCTTTTAGGGATCTTGAGGAAATTTAAAATTTGGACGGAAACACGATTTTAAAAGCTCCTGCCTAAAAGTATAGAGCTAAATTGCGCCTAATTTGAGAAATAAAGCTTTCGTATGAAATGTTTTTTAATCAAAAAGTCACTGATCAATCAATCTATCCTCGTGTTAATATTTTTTTAAGATTAAATATTTTAAAGACTTTCATAACCGAGCTTTAGCTGAAATTATTAAAATACGTAGTTACCAAAAAATAAAAATAAATACATATATTTAGGTAAGAACATTTGGAAGCTTTGTGCAAAACTTTTGAAATATCTAAAGCTTCTAAGCTTTTAGCTGCTTCCAAGCATGTAAATACGAACAAGCTTTTTGCCTAGTAAAGCTCATTTTCAATTAAAGTAACTACATAAATATTATAAAGCTTATTTCCAGTCTTCAAGTAATATAAAGTAAATCCATCATTTGCCCAGACTTGCAACTTCAGTTCGCGACAAAGGAACAGCGTTAACATTAACCGTAAAAGGGTCTTAAAGATACAATTTTCGTCAGTTGTTTCTTTACGATGACGAAGTGCTATTCTAAAAAGCTTAGCTTCTCTATGTAGTTTAGTGCTGTATTCAGCAAACTTTTTTTTTGATAATTAGAATAGAAGCCATAGTATGTATTAAATATGTGTTAGCGTAGTGGAAAGCGAAAAATGTGCTTTCACACAAATGCCGAGCTTCCAAGCTTGTCATAAACTTACAAAAGTTATAAGCTTTCGGTGTGAAAAAATTTATTAGCGCTAGTGCAATACAGTTAACTATGTGTCTGTGCTTTCTGTGTAAATTTTTGCATGTGTTCTTGCATGACTATGTTTTGTTTGTCAAGTATCTACTCTCAATTTCTAATATTGTTTTACTTTCAATAAAAAGGCGAAAGCTTTCGGCGCTTTGTGTGAGAGCTCATCGAAAGCTTTCGTATGAAATTGAAATCTTCTAGCGTTACACAATATAAATAAACAATGTTTTTAAAGGGAGTACAATAACGGCAGCTGGCTATAAGATTTCGACTTCAAAACCACTAAAAAATATCTATCAATATTGTATAGCGAAAAAAGTGCATTGAAAGAATAACAATATTAGAAATAATTTTATATAATTTTCGACGCTTGCAGGCCTTTGAATGTATTTGTATTTTAATTAATACGTCTTTTTCAGCGTACAAGTGATGATTGATAAAATAAATTTAGAAAATTTTGATTGCTTTGAAAATTAAATATTGCATATTTGTTCTTTATTTCTCCCATCTTAACATCGACATACACAAACATAAATAATATGCACATCTAATGGATTGCAAATCTTCATCTCTACAAAACTCATTCCATCATATATGTTACTATGCGCCTCCACTTTTTGGAATGCGTTGCTGTTTTTTGAAAACAAAACGAAATTTGCTTTATGGCTGCTGCTTCGAGAAATTTAGGCTCAATCCGATATTGAATGGAAATTTGGCCTATCCAAGCTTATACGCAATATGCATCGCACAACAACAGCGCCCTCGCCGCTTAATTTAGTTACCACATGGTTTATATGGATCGTCGAGAAGGTCAAGGTAAACAACAAGAATGTGTATAACAGCTGCTCTAGCGGGTCTATCCGCCACAAAAAAAATAAAAATAAAAAATAGGAACAAAAAAACTTGTTCCCAAAAGCACTCTTAACTAACTGGCAAATAGTTGACCTTTTCCCCAACCCATTTAAAACAAAATGGCAACACCATATTTATTTCGTATGTATTTTTAGTTATTTATCCTGCACCCTTTACTTTATTTTACCTTCATTTTCTAGCTAATACGTGATATTCTAATTTATACTGTCGTCTTACATGTGTCAAAAACTTCAAACGCTTTCACACTTTTTACTCACAGATTCACCCTGTTACTGGTCCTGTACACTCTCTAAAGCCCTAGTTAGTAGTTACACTTTTGCACTAAAAACGCACAGCACGAATCTTAGTCAGTGTTCGTCTTATTGCCGCAGCTCGTACTCATGTGTGTTTGTTATTGTTGTTGTTGTCTCATGTCCTTGCCTCCGTCACCAATTGCCTGCCAACTGCTAACTGCCAACGCCCACGTGTTCGCGTTTTGCGTTTACGTTTTGCTCATCACCGATCATCAACCCCACAATACACAATAACTACATACCCATGCCAATTTCATCGCATAGGCGCGCATGAAGAAAAAGAAGCGTCCAAGTCTGGTACAGATGATGGGAATACGTCAGGCCAGCCCGCGCACAAAGGCTGGCGCCAAATGGCTCTCGAAGATCAAGAAAGGTAGGAAATGTATGTGTCGCTGCAATGCTGCTTTCCAATTTTAGTTCAAAACATCGAACGCCACGTTCACTTCACCAGCAAACTATGTATATAGTAATGTAATGCAGTTGCGAATCAGTGACGTCCAAAATGTGGCTCGCGGGCGAGCTTTTTTAAGTTTGCGTACTTCTAAGTGCTCTCTGGTCGTCACTGTTGTAAATGAATTGAGCTTGTGAAGCGAAAGTGTGCTTTGAGAGTTTTGCAGCTACGCGTAGCGAAGTGAACCAAGCAGCTTAAAAGCGCGTTGAGCTTTTGGAAAGCTCACATGTAAATATTTGCACTTTTGAATAAACTAATGAAAGAGAAAAGTCTTTTTTCTACCCCACTTAGGTCACTTTAAATTGGCTCTCTAGCTTGCGCTAGCTCAAAATTTCGCAATTCACCCATATCCCTCGAGAATAAGCACATAAACTCATTTAATTTGTTTTGCCCTACTTTTATGTATCAACACCAACGACCGTTACTCCTCAACTTTTTCGATTGCCAGTAGACTCTGTGGCTCTATCCGTTGTACATCTATCGCCACTTGGATCGCAGACCAGCTTTACCGCTGCCAATCGGAATCGCATCGAGAATGTAGCTGACTGGGAAGCGATCGCCAAGAAGTATCGCGCGCTTGTCGGCGACGAGGAGGGTGGTTCCATCAAGGATTCGGAGGCAGAGAGCGGCTCTGTCGAGGGTAGCGGTGGCGGCACGGGTGCGCCACCGCCGCCTGCACAGGTGGGCAATAATGTTGCAGCCGCACAACCACAAGAGATATTGCCGCACGTGTAGAGTGAGCTTTTTCCATTAAAAAAAAACTGCATTCATTAAGCATTTGAAGCACGCCATGTATGGCTATTTTTCCATCCAGTAGAAAGTTGAAACACACAAGCTTACGAAAGCTTTAAGTAAACTAATTACATATAAATTATATTACAGGTTTAAGACAACAAGAAAATTAACTAAATGTCTTAAGAAATATTATAATTGACTTAAAAAATTCATAAACACTTGTAAAAATAGGGATTAGCTAGCAAATGAAGTAGTAGATCGTTTAAAAATGAATTGGATAGACGTAACAAGCCTTAAGCAATATCCACTTAGAATACGTTAGATAGAATAAACAAACAATAAATGTGTCATAAAATTAAAAAATTGTATGTTATTGTAAGTCTAAAAAACTAAATTAAAAAACTAAAAGATGAAACAGAAAAAAATGTATGAAATTCTGATAAACAACAAAGCGAAATGTTTTCCAGTCTAGCATAAGAATACTCGTAAAAAAAGCAACTTAAATGCAAAGTTTATCAAATTTTTGTTGAATAATGGGTATTGTTTCTCACAAAAATTCATAAGAAAAACGCAGAAAACTTATCCTTCATTGAGTCAATCGAGTTTTTTGTTGAAAATTTGCAACTTTCGATCATTTATTGGACACACTTTAAAATGAAAAAATGAAAATGAAAATTAAAAAAAATGCCATGTGGAAACAGACTTAATGACTGTTTTTGTAAACATAATTGCGGGGACATTTTCATTAAAAATGTTGTCATTTAATACCTAGTGGAAGTTCAGCATTAATGAAATTAGTTAATTTAATTCACTTAAAATTTGTTTTGAACTAAAGAGCCACAGCAGACAAATAAATCAGGCAATGCTGTAGTCAAAAAGTATATTTAAATTAAAAATATAATAATTTGATTTATTTTAGAAGGTGGTTAAAGTACTCACTTCGAGCCTGTACAGGCTCAGGAGAGGATTTTCCCAGACTTGTCGCTTCTCATTCCAATGTCTCTAAACAATACAGCTTTTCCAGCGGCTTCCTTGTAGCCATAATGAAATTTTCCCTAAACTATTTAAGCTATCGAAAAAGGCCCCCTGGAAGTTTGACGTGCTTTCTACAGAGTGAGAGGCACTCACATTGGAAGTGCTGCACGAATTCTATCTCTTCCTCATCTCTAAACCTTCAATGGCTAGTTAACTGTCTACTCTCCCGTTAATATTCCGACAAGCCGAACGTTCTGTTTTGTGGAGCTTACAAAACTCGTGCGCTTTACGTTCATGGAGCGGTGACCAGATATCAGAATTGGCAAAGAAGCGTGTACCAATATTTTGAACTAGAAATGAGCGCGGGCCTAATTTTTACGGCCCATCCCAGCACCCAAGTGTGTAACCGGAAAGACCCAACCGCGTTAAGCACGGATTATCTGGAATTACGCCAAAAATATTAACATAAATTACTTAGGCCTATCTATTCGATTTTTTACACAAGACAAGTTCCAATACGCATTTTTCGTTCATCTAATTATTTAAATTTTCTTACTGATCTTCAGAAGTTATTTTCATTGCTTTAGTCAATAGGTTTTACGGTTACATATTTTTACAAAAATAAACGAATTGTAAGCCTAATACAAAAGTGCGAGAATGAGACCGAAAAGTTGTACTAAAATATCTCAGCGTCAACATCTATTTTTGTATAGTATTTTTTTCCCGTCTCTACTATGAATCCCTTTTTCTGATGTCATTGAGTAATCATTTGTGAAAATAGATCAAGACTTCGTCGTTGCTTTGAACGATACTTTATATCGTACCCTAGTCAATTCTGTCAGGAAAATTTACATGATCCAGCGATATAGGCTAAGAGTTATTTTAAATTATTAATTAACTGGTTATTAAAACATACTTAATTGTTTTATTGGTATAGTATGTCTATACCTATATTGATTCATTTAGGCTGGTACAAACAACCGTTATGTTATAATAAAGTTATAATACCCTTGTGCACAAGTGCGCTCCGGTATAAAAATGATCACGTACGTTATAGTGTTTTGATTTTGAATTGACTGCGACTTGTGTTGAATTCTTGTATTGACAATCTTTAACAATTTATATTTTTGTATGATTTTATTAATTTTTTTATTAAAATATAGTTTATTCTTCAAAACAAGCCGTATACGCGGAAGTTTCAAACATATGCAAAATTAAAAAAAAGTTCAACATGCTTTCGTAAAAGTGTACCTATTCCAGCAATTTCGATCATTTGTATTTGTTTCCAAAGATGATTTTTTGGTTGCTCATTAAAATTAAGAAGTTCTATCTGGGAAGACTAGGTACTTACACAAATCCGTTTATAATAATACTTTACTTAGCGAGAAGGTTTAGCGTAAAAGTAGAAAAATATTGATTTCATATTTAAGTTTGAATGTTTTAAACACATTCAATTAAAATGTTAGCATTTAGAGAGTTTTAATATTATAATTTTTTATTACGTTTATTTATTTATGTAACATAATATTAATAATAATAATAATAATAATTAAGTAACATTTATATATATTAAGAGCAGCAATTTCTTCATAATTTTAAAATCAAAGAGTGTGTGTTAATATGTAATTTGTCACTTCTAATTATAACGCATCATTAAATGCAATTGTCTACCGGAATTCAGTTTTTGTACAATAATAATATAATAAAGTAATATAAAATTGTAAATTTTGATTGATATGATAATAAACAAAATGAAACAACATCGTATTTTTCTGGTCAAAAGTTCGAGATATCGCTTATGTAATATACTTGTACGTGCATTAGAGTGGTTAAAAAAAACACTATTTTTGGAAATTCATAACCGCCATTTCTGATAAAAGCAAGATACGTATTTTTTTTTTTTTGAAAAAAAAAAAGTTTTTTTAGATGTTCTCAAAATTTTTTTTATTATCGTGACATGTTAAGGTGCAGTTAAAAATGTTCCTTTTGCATGTAATTACTCAGGTATTATTGGGTCACATATAAAACTGACAGTCTAACTGACCAACTGATTTTATGTTTCTCTTTTATTATCACAAATAACAATAATTTGATATAGCGTTTATGACTTTCAAAAAAAAAATTTTTTTTTTTATCCACTAGGTATGTTAATCCCGCAATTCCGGCCTTTTTAAGTGCCGAAAATCCCAGGATTGTTTGCCAAGAATTTGCAATGGTGGAAATAACAGAAATGCCTTATGTCGACCAGTTTTTGCTATATTTCTTTTGTTTATTTAATATTTTTTTTTTTATAAATGTTCAGCTAATTTACACATATATAACACCGTGCGACAGGCAATTTTACACACACAAAAATCAATATATTAGCGAAACTATGTGCGAAATACTATTTGCAGTAAAATTGCGCTTTTAGTTTTTCTCTCTGACGTCAGGATTTTTTAAAAGGAAAACTTTTATTTTTTTTTAAATCCTACAGAATTTTCTCTTTAACATTATACTGAATTTTTTAAATAGTTTTTATAATTTATCATATCTTTGAAATTATTAAGTTCTAATAAAAAAAATCGAAAACTAAAAACGCAGTTTTACTATATTTGGCCCATAGGGTCGTGAGTATATTGATTGCTTGGTATGTTTTGAAATTTTTTTGTTCAAACTTTTTCAATTTTTTACTCAGAAGTTTTAGAAATATTCTAGGTATGCAATTTTATAAGTATAGCCCATTAAATTACAGGAGGATAAAGTGCAAGTTTCAAGTGATTAAAGTGGCGGTGTCAAACATTTTCTTCCATACAAAGAATATTTGACAATTTGTTTATATGGAAGAAAGTGACCAGCATGGTTTAAAAATCCCCATAAATCAACGGTATTTTGAACTATAAAACTGCGCACCTCAAATTTTGCTATAAAGAAAGTAAGTGCGCCTGGGCCACACTGGAGAAGTGAAACTTACGTTACATACATAACTATTTTGTCTCATAACCAATATACATAATATATATCTTAATTTTTCTCTTTATACTCTATCGATAACAAAGTAAGTAAAGATAGTAACATCCAGCAAAACCGGTAAAAAATATCGATAACAAAATCGATAAAAAATTCGATACAAATTTCGATAGCAAAATAGATAACAATATTGGTAGCAAAATATATTAGAAACTCGATAAAAATATCCATAGCAAAATCGATAAAAATATCCATAACGAAATCGATAAAAATATCGATAACATAATCGATAAAAATATCGATAAGTATCGATAAAAGTAGCCATAACCAAATCGATAAAAATATCCAAAACAAAATCGATATATATCGATAGCAAAACCGATTAATATCGATAGCAAAATCGACAAATATCGATAACAAAATCGACTAATATCGATAACATCGATAAAAATATCGATAACAAAATCGATAAAAAATATCGCTAACAAAATAGTTAAAAATATCGATTACACAATCGACAACAAATCGATAATAATATCGACAACAAAATTGATAAAAATGTCGATTTTAATATCCGAACGACGATTCCGTTGAAAAGATTTTTAAATAATTTTATGCAGATTTTTTAAGCCTAATCTGTTTTGTCATCTGAGCGGACTTTTTTCCCAAAGTTCTTTAAGAAACTATTTTTATTCATAAAAAACTCCATTTTTGGAGGTATTTTCAAATCGGTCCAGCTCGCTTAAATCTTAATATTTTTCCGAAATATTTTGGTGGACGTCTTAAAATATAAAAAGTTTTGTAATCCCGGCGGAAAACCCGCAACTTTCTTTTTTGTGATGCAGTCTAATGTACATACATACATATGCATGTATATGCATGTGCGTATGTTGAAAGAGAATATAAATAAAGTCTGATAAAATACAATACTTATATATCAGAATTTCGTTGAATTATTGATGATTGACAGAGACGAACACGTGGTGTTTGTCTCAGTGGGTGAATTTGGTGGAGTGACTTGGGAACCACTTGGGATACGAGGGGTCCAGTTGGTAACCAGCCTGAGACAGTCAGGGCCCAGTTGGCATATGGATATTTTCGTTTTTTTTTGATATTAATTATGTACTTCTACTTAGTAAGGGTTATACTCCTTAAGCGAGGCCGAGGCCGCCTACGCAGAAAGAAGTTCGTTCTCCTGTATGCGCTATCTCGGTTTTTGTCATATCTATTATTCGGGTTTGAGTCGAAACTGTACTTGAATGCATTACTTCGGTGTTTTCGTATGCACAATTTGAGGGTGCCGTGTTAAAATGTGTAAGCACCAATCTATTAATATCGTTGAATTATTTTAATATCTATTGCAAAATTTTATACAGACAAGACTAAAAAGTAGAAAATACAAAATAATCTTTTTAATATACCATGCTTTTATAAATGGACTAAAAAGTAGAAAATGTGCCATTCCATTGAGACGAATGGGACATTTTACTCCAGAATGTCATGAATTGTGAATTTTAACTATGTCTTCGGAACTGATACAACAGCGAAAGACATGTTTTAACATAGAACGATAACTAATGTATAAAATTGCTTTAACAAAAATACAACAAACGATTTCTTAGTTTTATGTAAGTATAATTTGGATGAATGTGACTGGTGGGACACTGAAAAGAACTCTATTTTACCCTTGTGCACTCAAAAATAAATTTTAGCCCAAACTCCTGATTTTCACGAACGATTTATTTATGTTGTAAAATATGAATTATACGCTTTCGTTTTCAATAAAAATGAGATTTATATAATCTTCATAGAAATATTAAAAAATATTTTAAGTTGTGGCTGGTGGGACATCTCCTTGTGACTGGTGTAAAGTAATTTTGCCTGAAATAAAGGTTTCCATAAACAAAAATTACAACTTATTTTGATTATTTTTTTTTTTGATATTTTGCCGCAGGTTAATGAAATGTGGTCATTCAAAAAGAGGTTACTACTGAAA